GTCTGAGGGTTCATTCGCGAGAGCCATCATGTACACGCGCAACGCGCACGATAGCGTTCCTGCAGCCGCCTACATGGCGGCGATGCCGTTGTCGAGCTCGCACGGTAGGCAGGTGCATTAGGGCTTCTAAAATAAAAAGTTCCAGTCACTTACAGCTGTGGTTGGTGTCAGTCGATGTGGAATAACTTCAGGAAGCCATGGCAATAGTCGAAATTGGCCGCACACAAAAATTTCCACAATGGAGCCGGAAAATTAACGGAGCACTTGCGGACACGGCTCTTCTTGTCGGCACCACCTAGCGACCTCTCCAGAAATAATAAGAGGCACGCTTCAGCGCGTTTTTCGAGCGCCGCGACTGGCTTATCACGTGGTACAGATCGGGGTACAGCCATTGGCCGCTGCCCGGCTGTATGTGCTGTGAAGCCTATATGCGGGGTCCATGTCTTGTCGAGCAGCACAGCTGAACAATGCTTTTTTTGTGTAATTATCTTCATTATGAATGAAAAAAGCCATTGCTCGCAAGTGAAAGCCGTTGTGCGGCGCGCTCTGTGGGAATATGCTACGAGCAGCTGGTACGATTTGCGGCAGTTGTTGGCTTGCAAAAGCCAATGCATCAAAAGTAATTCACGCCCGTCAGCCGGAAAGTTCATGATGTGGCAATGGATGACGTCAGCGCCAATCTTGTGAGGTTGAAAGAGCTCGCAGTGAGAGAACTTAGCAGGGACAACATTGCCATTATGTACGATGGTATGTGGCACAAACATGGCCACAAAATGGCTTGACACTAGACTTAGTTTGGATTTCACAGTCCTATTGAACTTCTTCCTAGCTTGCAGTTGGCACATGGCTCTGCCAGATGGATCGGAAGTTTGGCAAGCGTCTCATGGCCCTGTCTGTGAGCGAAATGTCTGTGAAGATTTGGCTCGAAAAAGCCGAGAGGGACAAACTTATCGTGCTGGCGTATTTTAGTGGCAGTGGCCACTACAAGAAAGATTGTTCTTTTTGGTTGTCAAGTTTCATCAGATTTAATGGTATCTTTCATAAATAAAACTCAATTTTAAATTTAAAACTCGTTTTCCTCAAAACACAAATTTTGCCTTTTTTCTTTCAATGTGCCCCTCCTTTTTCGGGCACTTCTAATGCTCGGATCTGCATGAAATTTTGCCCAAATTTTTTCCAAAGTATGACAAATGCAATTATCTAGCTTAAGTTTCAATATTTCATTGTGTAATAAAAGAAAACTGTATGTAGACCTTTACTAGGATAGGTGAAATATGGACTTTTTACGTCTATTATTTTTCATGCCTAATACATATTTTGTATGTGCTTCTTAATTAGTTATTTGCATTCTACACTTTATTTCAAACATTATGAACTATGAATGATAAAAAATTACGGAAGTTCAGGGATGAAAAGAGGGGAGGGGGGGCAAAAGGGTTAAGGTTTTCACTTTGTCATGTTGGAGACCTAAAAGTATGCAACTTGCAAAAAAACTATTTATATATTTGAAATCAGCATAAAAAGTTTCATAAACAGCTCAAGTTTCATTGCTCTAAGGTGAATATTAAAAAACAAAGTGTCTTCGAGTAGCATCTCCCGTTAAGAATATCATAGTCAAAATCAAGAAGAAGAATTAGTTCTGGGCAGGGCACGTAGCACGAAGGCAAGATGACTTCTGGTCTATAAAGCGGTATTGACACAAAGTTTTGGGGTCGAGAAAGCCTTGGGGTCGATGCTCGTGAACATAAGTACATCATGTGCAAGATATCAACAGCGAATATAGCTTAAAAGGCATTTTAAAATAATTTTGAAGTTTGCGTGAGCGACCAACTTCATAGTGCTACAGACACCAACGGGGCTTACCCCAAGGGGACCCCATACTTCCTTTCCGTCACCACGCTGCTGTCAACAAAACAAGTTATGATGACGTCATAGCCGCCATTTTCCTTTTGCCGCGTTTGTTCCCAAAGTCTTTGTTTCTCGGCAGCTGGTTGCTTAGATAGTTTTGTCTTTGGCAACATTCCAGTCCCGTTTCCTATTCAAAAGCATTTCTTGATGGGGACCGTGCGGAAGTGCATCACAGTTCTGTGTGCTGACGTGGTCAAGAGGTGCACACACTAGGTGGCGACAGTTGCACCCAGTTTTTGGAACTCTCTCAAACCGAAACTGAAACTGATTGATCATGAGGGGCTTGGAATTAATTATCTGTCGCGTGCTGCAGCAAACAATGGGTCGTGTCATGACTAACAGCCATACAGCAACGCATTGCAGCAGAAAAACGCGAGGCCAAAGTTTTTGTGCCAGTACCCCTTTAAGGGTAACTGACTGGATTCCCAGAGAAGGCAAGTGGGTCAGGGGGAAACAGAAAGTTAGGTGGGCAGATGAGATTAGGAAGCTTGCGAGTATCAAGGGGCAGCAGCAAGCACAGGACTGAGTTGACTGGCGGAACATGGGAGAGGCCTTTGTCCTGCAGTGGACGAAGTCAGGCTGATGATGATGATATAATAAACACTACAGTAGACTCTCTATAAATGGAAATTTGTTAAATGGGACTGCTGCTTAAATGGAATGAGTGCTTTTGACAAGATTGGTTTCATTCTTGCATTCTGCACTCCTGGTCATTTCTCAGTAAACGGAACTCCTGTTAAACAAAAAGCATTTTACTAGTCTCTTCAAGTTCAATCTAGTGAGAGTCATATATTGCTGAGGGCCCGGGCTCTAGATGAGAGCTGCCCTCATGGAACACATGGAAACTGTAGACGCCATTGAGCAACAAGAATGTGTGCATTTATTAACCTTCTTTCACATCATGGCAAGCTCGTCTGCCGAATACTTAAGAAGTAACACGCTTAATACTGAAATATGTAATGCCAATACAATACACAGACAACATAACATATACAATGTACTGTGAATATGGGGCACTCACATTTGACTCACCATGAGGAGCCTATTGAAACGAGCTGGGGATTGTCCCCCACAGGCATCCTACAATAGGCAGCAGCATTGCTATTGACTGAGGTCCCAATTGAATGTACCAGCGTAGCCTCGCCACTGCCAGGTGGTGCTACTGACACCATAGCGTGACCATAGTGCCATCTCTTGCTCGGCAGCAAAAGCATAACCATGCTAACTCTGACTTCCACTCGGTGCACATGTGCCATGAGGCGAAAACGACTTGCAGCGGTTGGCTTAGCCTTCTTTTATGCTTATTTTTTAGTTGCAATGTGCCTGCATCAAAGTATGGGTTAATGAGAACGTGATGCCCTGCTTATTAGAGGCACCTCATGTTCAGAACTGCTTCGCAGGGATATAAATGGGGCCACCTGTACAGTAAACTTCATAAAAAAGAAAATATTTCCATCTACTTACTTGAGATTTGTGTTAAAGGGCCACTCACCAGGCCCCATAACAAATTTTAGTTAGACCGTGGAAGTTGTTCTGTGTCCGTCGAGGAGCATTATGCCACAAGAATTTTTCCAATCGGTTCATTACGAGCGGAGAAAGCTGTTTTTTTGGAAGCGGCATGAAAGGGATATGAGAGGAGGTTAGCTCGAAACCCTTGTCGCTCCCCCGCGTAGCCTTCGCAAGCCAAATTTCTTTCCTCTCCGGTATCCGACCAAGAGGTCACGTGTGCATGACGTGCCCGAACAAGCCCAACTTCTGAGCTTACAAGCGGCGTGTTCTTTTTTTTTGACCAGCATTATTTAGTGGTCTACTGCCTCTTTATGCAGGGTGGTTTCGAAATTTTTGCTTAGACACGGTAGAATAGAGGAGCACAATGAGTGTGTGAATGGGTAGGAGCGTTACTCTGGGATCCACAGCTGTCCTCGGCTCGTTGCGCTGTCCGCGGAGACACAAATGTTTGTGAAACGCCGGCTTATTAGCCCAGCATTTTATTGCTATTCACTGGAAAAAAATGGAAAAAAGACGTGCACATTACCTTATTGCATCTCATTATTTATCTCTACTTTTATTAATCTCTTCAAGCAACAAGTTACATAAACTACGCATGTAATGTTAAATATTTTTTGCCATGTCACGTGCCACTACCTAAAGGGGCAACGTCACTACACTGCCGTGTACATAAGACAATTCATACGTGCACGTTATGCCCTCATTTTCTGGGCGTGCACCTGCATAAAGAAGGGGGAGCAGCGTTCATCTTCAAATTTGACCCATTTTCGCAGCGCGTAGTATTGTAAATTTTGGCAGATGTGATCGTGAATGCCCTACCTACGCAATGCGCTTCAGCTCCTGGTGAGTGGCCCTTTAAGGTTCGAAATTTGCTTCCTTTTATTGAAAAAATTTTCTTCGTAGCTTTTTGTTATTGTAAGACAGATAGAAATTGTTCATAAGGAAAAAATTTAATGTCGGTTGATTGATTCGAATACCACTTGGCATTGTTATGACAACCTGGTGGCTCTCCTGGGACCTTGTCTGTGAGGTGGTGATGGTAGAGCATATACCTCACAAAGAAAAAGCGAAGTGGCCAGACTTTGGTGTGATAGTTTGCGTTACACCCATTGAACACTGGAAGAGCAACGAAAAGTTCCCTGTGTGACAACCAACGACGAACAGTGTTCAACAGTTGTACATTTCGCACAGAATGAAATTTATTGTAACTGCAATGTATTAGTGGGATAAGGTCTCTCTGGAGCACATTGATATTTATTGATAATTTAAATGAAGTGGCGCTATAATGAAGACTATGTGGGGACTTGGAGAGCTTTTGCCTGAGAAGATGCATGAAGAGATTAATGAGGTTAAGAGCGGCAGCAGCTGGTATGCCACTGATGACAAAAACCCACAACAAAACACAGCATACAAGCATGGTCATGGGAGTCAATTGTTAGTTTCAGCCTCATCCCATAGCCCTCACTTCTATACATTGTGTGCTTTTTGTGGGTCTTTCACTTTCATTAATATGCGTATTTATGGTAGTGTGCCTGAATGGGAAAACTTCTAATGTTTTCTAATCTCTCTCTGTGCTCTGGCAGTGCGTCGCTTTTTTACCTGGTGAAAGGCGAGGAGAGGGCTAATTTTAATGTTGGCATTCGAAGGTGAGTGACCATTTTTGGGTTTTTATGTACTAAGTCAATGCATTTGCTATATTCAATAGCTATGTCTGAGGAGGGACCCTATTTAAGATGCAGTTAATGCAGAAAGTCTGGCTAATTTTTCAGTGTTTAGTGAAAAAGGAGCAGTAGAAGGCATTCTTTCCATCTTGGTACGTTTTCTTTATTTGGCTTGCCTCTTTGACTGAGCACTGTACTTTTTTTTTAATACAGCCACTTGGCATTTAGCCACTGCTCATATAGGTGCAGGTTCAAATTCTGGCTAGAGCTGTTGCGCTAGGATGGGGCAAAAGCATCTGTGTAATAAGTTTAGGCATATGTTAAAGGGACACCAAAAAAGGAAATTAATGTTTTGTGTACTAGTAAATTACAATTTCATAATACAAAAAAACATCATTCTTATGGCTAGAAGATTCTTACTCTGAGTGAGAAAGTGCGCAAAATGAAAATGTCGGTGGCAACGCCACCTTGAAATTTTCACATTAAATGCGGTTATGTCATAAATTTTCATGGCATCTACTAGGTCATGCGCAGTTCTAATTAGTAAGATTGAAGTACTACATTGTAATGAAAAAAAAAAACAGTGCAAGGAGACTGGTGTACACTGTCTTCTCGTGCTGTTTTTTTGTTACAATGCTGCCAAACTAACTAGCCCACCACCCACCAACAAGCATTAACTAAGTACGTTGTTCTCTGACAGGACCATAGACTTTAAATACCAAGTTCTAGAAAATTTTCTGGAGCCAATGTTGCTAATTATGCAAAATAGGCTTGAAAATCTGTCACGTCATGCACGGAGATTTTGGTGCAAAGTTTAAAATTGAAACATTCAGTTTCATTTTTTCTTCTATTAACTAACATATTATGGTGAACTGGAAAACATTAGATTTGTCAGAGTACAATTTACCAATCTAGATCGATTCGTTGTTCCACTTTAGCGTTCTTTAAAGAGCCCCAAACTGTCAAATGTTATCTTTTGCCGTTGGGTGTCTGATAGCCAGATTTTCACTTTTGGAAACCCATAATTTCATAAAATTGTCAGTCTTATACAGGCTGTGCTCTATACAATAGTGAGATACCTTGTCTTTGTCAGATAACAATACTGTATTCTATTGGTTACCTTTACTTTCACAGATTCCTCCCTGACCCCTCCCACCCTCTCCCAGAGATGCCACTTGCAGTACACATTGCAAGTGTCCCCCCCTCCTGATGTACCTTTGATATATTTGAATCCCTCGACAGTGAAGTATAGTGCATTCTGCATTCTTTGATTCCTGTTTATTTTGTAGTGTGTACCTGGGTCGTCACATACCTCAGCTCTGTGAGACAATTGAAATCGCAACTGCCTTTTGACCGGTGTCTGCAGCGACTCACTATAGCAATGCCTTTACACGGGAATACCAAGCTCATCAGTTGACATTATTTCAAAAAAATTATTTCAATTTTGTACTCGTAAAGTTGACACCTGCATTTATAAGGCCTGGATTTATGCCACTAGTGACTTTCGATGATGTGGGATGCGTTGGTGCCTACAAGGGACAGCACACTCACTGCAGTACCAAGCACATTATCGTGACTGCTGTTCTTTGCACTTGTTGATTAGTCTAGTGCTAGTCACATGGAATCTATGGAATCCATGGAAAGTGGCTGCACCACAGAGAGCTTGTGATCTGCATTATATTTCTCTATCTGATGGAATGTAGGTGTGACTGACAGAAAGGAAAGCTGCATGTATGGGTCACAGATGCTTTAAAAATCAGCCAAGCTTGGAAAGTGAGCCAGAGTTTCTTGGCATTGCAAGGTGTCAATCAAAGTGCGCCTTAATGCAACTTGTTTTTTCATTCTTTAGTGGTCATTGGGTCTTTTATTATTTCAATAAGCTAAAAGAGGCCTATGTTTGTGACAGTTTTTAATAGCTCTTTTATTTACTAAGATTCACTGTGTGGCATTGCTCTGGAGTCTTTGGCATTGCTCTGGAGTCTTGTTTTGCTCTCATTACTGTAACTATGGTGTGAAAAAGTGGGCTCCTCTATGTCAACAGGAAGATAATCAAGTGCTTGCTGGATGCCATGGGATGCCATCGAAGTTACACGACGGTGAGTATTGGCCTGTGGTATTGTTCTCTAAGTGCCAAGCAGTGACCCTTTTCGAGAAGGGCCCTTGAGCAGCATGGGTAGCATGAAAACGCGATGAGAATTAGAGATGACGCCAGGAAGCTTTGGGAGTGGGCTTGCTCTCCAACCAAAACAGCACCTGTGCATGTCTTTTGGCCCAGACCTCAACTCTGTGGCTCTCAGGAGAGAGAAGGAGAGGATAGTCTGCAGCAATCCTACAGAGTGAAGGATGAGGTGCAGTAGAGCAGCTCCAGCAGGGTGTTGAGATGAGTGTGCCATAGAAGGGGTGTGAGGATCCGAGCACATAAAGGTCTGGTGAAAAACGGGGCGGGTGCATCTATGCAGTCTATGCAGCTTTTCAGGTGGCGGGCCCCAAGGTTTAGCAAAGTGTGATGGCCAATCTATGCTGTCTTCCTGCATGCCAAGTGTTGGAGGTTGCATCAGAAGTTTCAAAAGCATGTAGAAGCGGGAGGCTATGTGATGAATTTGATAACTACTTGATGTAGTGTTCATAGTGCGAGCATCGCGACTACAAGTGTTCATGGTGATCAAACAGCCTGCATGTATACTGACACCATGCTGGTTCAAGTGATTACTGAGGGAATGTTTACTGCTATATATACAGCTAATAAAGCTGAGTTTTACTGTGATTGCCATCACTTGCGCAATTCTTTTTTGTTATCGACAAACCTTCACAAGAGCATTCTTTCTTTTTTAAATTCTTTTTAGTAATATATTTTACTTTGGTCGGCTGGTGTTGTGTTTTTGTTTGTCCATGTCATTCCTCGACCAGGCAGAATTTTGCCAAACTCTCGGCTTCACTTTTTTTTTTTTTTTTGCTGCTGTTGAAAATCTTGACTAGAATTGTCAGGCAATACCTGGAAATATCAGAAAATTTTATTGTTTATTTGCTACACAGCCTAGTAAAATACACTACCATCAAATGCGAAGGATTATTGGACAAGTGCCAGCTATTAAGAACACGTGCTATGTGATGCCAACAGTCAAGTGTTCCACACTAGCCATAGTGGCCCCTGGCAGTGCTGACTGATGCTGCCATGTTGAAATGTGCATACTATATATCTCTAAAGTGGATGGAGGGATGACTGCCACAATAGCTCAGTGGTAGAGCATTAGACGCATTATTCAAAGGCCGCAGGTTTGGTCTTTGTCAGTAGCAATTTATATAGTAAAACCTCGTTAATTCAAAGTCACTTGAATGAAGTGGGTTTTCGAATTAACTGAACATGTAAAAGGTAGGATGTAAGGAACTTGGGTTTATTAAATGTAGTCAGGGGCTGGTCGTTTCCTGTGTTGGCTAGTTTGAGGCTCCAAGGGTGATGTTTTCCAGCAATACCTGGTCCCAATTTCGCCACAAACACGGGGGAGCTGTGGGCCTCGCTGCTGCCAGTAAAAAAAAAAACAAAAAAAAAATCGCTGTCCTGATCAGTTAAAAGAGGCCTTTCTTGAGTATGGTCTTAAAGTGCCGCCGATCGGTAGTAGAGGCTCCCGACAACACGCGAGTCAAATATTATAGCGTAGCACAGGGCCTGGAATTCACAATAAATTATCAAAGCCAGCTAAAAATTGCTGTCTCTTCTCTCGACAGATGACAGAAGATGCTCAAAAATCACATGTAGCAAGCCCATCTATCAGCCATTGGTTGATTTGAACATAGCGCGCTTGATCACGAGAGGCCACGAGAGACCACAACTTGTCCATGCATGCGCGCACGATCGCACTAAAAAATCTGCTCAATCGAAGAAACAGAAAAAGGTGCTCAAGGTCACGATGCTGGGGTGACGTAGTTTCTTTGCCCTTGCCATCTCTCCCTGCTAAGCTTCCAGCGCTTTCGTTTGGACGAGAGAAGAGAGAATGAAATGGCAGCATGCGACAAATTTTGTAACTCCACTTGCACTGGATGGATATTAAAAATTTTTTGCTGTGTTGAATTCGTAAGGCAATAAGCTCTTCCAGTGAATTCATTCCATGGTTACTTGAAAAAGCGTTTCAGGGCTCCTTTAAAATGCGCACCTGCAGAAAACAAGATATCTTCACTGCAACACAGAAGTGGCACGCGGGCAGCATGTCGCCGGCTGCTCGCTGTGTCAGCACGTCATAATGCGACCATTCGCCCATTTTTTTCTGGTAAAATAAAGAATTTAATAATGGCCAATGTGATGAATTTCGTGATGTGTTTTGGCTGGACAACATGATCATTAAAATTTTCGAACCTAGTTTTTGAAGTAGGCTTTGCAGGCAGATTTGGGTGCACGTTAAAGAACCCCAGGTGGTCGAAATCTCCGGAGCCCTCCACTACGGCGTCTCTCATAATCATATGGTGGTTTTGGGACGTTAAACCCCACATATCAATCAATCAATCAGGCTTTGCAGGCAGAAACTCCGCCAGCAGTGTAAGTGTGCCAATTGCTGGAGCAATCGGCAATCGGAGGTTCGCATACATCGCGAATTCTGCCAAAGCGTCTCTTATTAGATTCTCTACAATTCCGGAAAAAATCGGTAATTCAGTACGCGCTGACCTTGCGAGAAGCGTGTGATATGCTGCTTGCGCGTCACCACTGTGCTGCAGCGAAGCATGTCTTGTTTTTTGCAGGCACACATTTTAGTTTCATTTTCAGCTTTTATTCATTCAAAATACAAAGTTCACAATATGCAGACGAGGATCCCGAAGTCAAGTGACCGCAGTGGGACCCTCGGTTAACAATAACAGTATATAAGGTTTGATTGTAACATCATGTAATAATATACAATGTAAGTGGAAGTGAACGGTGGAAGTATAAAAAAAACTACTACAAAACAAATGAAAGAACAAAAAACACGGTCAAAGCAATACAAGTACATAATAAACAGTTATACAATTGGATTAAGCAATCAAAGGAACAAAACCCAGACTAAAATTTCAAATTACTTACAGTGTACATTATGAAACAGTATTGTTGTCAGGCTAGTTATACAAAATGAAATTTTTAAGTTCATGTTTGAATGCATGTAATGATGATTAGGATTTTACTGAAAATGAAAAATTCGAAAATTTAATCATCGGGAAGGAGGAAGTCATTTTGTCATATTTGGTGTTACATTTAGGTAAAAGGAAGTTATGATTATGGACAAACCTAGTGCTGTTGGTGTTAGTGAGTAATCTAGCATCGATTAAATCAAAGACAAGCTGTTTGTTCAGCTGTTTAAATACCATAATGATTAAGTGAAAATGAAACAAGCCAGACACTGTAAGAGTGCGGTTAGCCTGAAGGAGTGGAGTAGCATTGGAATAAAATGAACGGCTGGTAATAATGCGAACCGCCCGACGCTGAATGTGCTGTACGAATGAAAGATGAGTGTTATAGGTGTTATCCCATGAAGTAATGCCATAGGTGATGTGACTATGTATGAAGGCAAAGTATAAAGGTAATAAGGCTTCAAGTAAAAAAAATGAATAAGATTTAATGAGTGATACCAAATGCAGTTTTTCGTTTAACATAAAGTATATGATCGTTGAACTTCAAGTAAGGGTCGCCCCACCGCGGTGGTCTAGTGGCTAAGGTACTCGGCTACTGACCCGCAGGTTGCGGGATCGAATCTCGGCTGCGGCGGTTGCATTTCCGATGGAGGCGGAAATGGTGTAGGCCCGCGTGCTCAGATTTGAGTGCATGTTAAAGAACCCCAGGTGGTCGAAATTTCCGGAGCCCTCCACTAGGGCGTCTCTCATAATCATATGGTGGTTTTGGGACGTTAAACCCCATATACCAACCAACTAATCAATCAATCAATCAATCAATCAATCAATCAATCAATCAATCAATCAATCAATCAATCAATCAATCAAGTAAGGGTCTATTTTTATACCCAAAAAACACACACAATCAGATGCAAGAATAAAGTGATGGTCCATAGACACCTGTGGTATAAAAGGAAGCATTTTTTTAAAGGTTTTAAAAATGAATAACTGTGTTTTAAAAAGGTTTAAAGTTGAGTTGTTCCTACGACACCATTTAACAACATTAATCAGTTCGTTGTTCAGCTTATTGATCAAAGTAGTTCATGATTTATGCGACAAGGAAATAGTCATATTGTCAGCGTAAAGTAATGTTAGAATCAGTAGGGCAGTGTGTCAAATCATTTATATAGTTACGAAACAGTAAGGGCCCAAGAATGGAACCCTGCGGAACCCCTTCATTTATTATTTTAATGCTAGAATGAACGCCCCTTATGCACACTGATTGCGATCAAGATCACGATCAAGTAGGTAATTCTTTATGAATGTTAAGGATGGACCAGTGATGCTTAAGGATTCTAGCTTAATAAAATATTATGACAGATGGTGTCAAAGGCTTTCGTGAAATCGAGAAAAACTGACCCTACAAAATTACTGTTGTCGATGGAAGACTTGGAAGAAATCGGTTAACAACAGCAAAGCTAAAGTTGTAGAACTACCAGCACGGAAACCAAATTGAGAGGGCTTTAGTAACTGAAATTTGTTGAGGTACTTGTTAATATGTTTAAAAAATAATTTTTCTATAAGTTTGCTGATGGAGGTTGATAATTGTGGACATCTGTTGTTTCGCCTTTTTTGTCTACTGAGATTAACTTCTTCTTTTAGTGAGCTCAAAAATGTGCCAAGTTTAAAAATGACAATATTTATATCACTTAGTACTTGCAAAATATCTGGAGCAGCAAGCTTTAAATGAAACGCTGATATGTTGTCTAGCCCAGCTTTACAGTTTCTTAGGCTCAGGATTGTAGAATAGACTTCATCAGTAGGTATAGGAAAAAAAAAATGAATGGGTACAGCGGGTAAAGGGGTATGAAGATGCTGTGGGCCTGACCTTATAGATTTCAAAGAAGTAATCACCAAAAGACTCAGCTATGTCAGATGACTCAGTACGGATTTGTTGATCATACCTAGTTTTATCAATTATATTACTAACCTGAGATCTGTTCAAAAAGTCATTGAAAAGTTTTCA